ACAAAATTGAGTTTTGTGGTACAGGATTGACAAAATTGAGTTTTGTGGTACAGGATTGACAGAATTGAGTTTTGTGAGACAGAATTGAGTTTTGTTAGACAAAATTGAGCCCTGTCCTGCATGGCGCCCCGTAATACACAGCCCTTTGAAATCATCCCACTGACCACTCTGATATAATCCGCATGCTTGACCCGACTTGCCAAGCTAACCACCATGATCTAAACTGTTCATTGCTTAATATACCGAGAAAACAACAACAACAACACCCTTGCAATACCCCACAACACAACACCTTGAAATACCAAAATACGCAATAAATACAATGGAAGAAAATAGATATCATAACATCACTGAAAAAAAAATCCCCAGGAGTACGTAGCTCCATCCACAACGAATATCACTAATGACCATATGCCTTCAATGTATGTGGGATCAATCACATACATCGAAACCCAGGTCACTCGTAATACCCCTCTCCTCAAGATCTTTAAACAACCCTGCCATTATATATGTATGATATATATATATATATATGCTTACTCAACATCATGCTCCAGCTTACAACATTTCTGCATCCTAAACCGCAGGATTCACACGCGTGTATGCGACGCATATGCTATCGATATGTAACAATACCAAACACTGTTCGCTCATTTACTGTATTAACATGCCTATTATATATATATATGTCATAACAACATGTTCCTAACTAAATATACTCTGCCGTATTCAGCGTCACATTTTCCCCAAAATAACATCATCTGTGCTTGCCATTACCGCGTCGCCAGCCTTCTATAGTATCCAACTATACACCTGTGCATAACTAGATATCATACGATTATTTACTGTCACTGTGCCTTCATATATGGCGTGAATGAACGAATCATTATATCGTTCAGTACGTCCTAGTATATTAGGGTGCTTACACATCGAGCGTATCTATATTCCGTGCTCCCTGACACGTGTGTGGAGGATTCCCAGCGTATATATGCTGCCACAGAAATCCCCCGTAGTCCTTGTCTCGGACCGTGTATTGTCTTTACAGAGACATAACTTTAGCCGCGTATTTTCCACGCGTTAAACGTGATGCGTGACGCGAATACGTTCGCGTAGGGCCCTCTTCGCCCTTTATCACACGCATGCCATGGCTATCTATCCTAGCCCATGTAACGCTCTCTATACCTTATGCACCCTATAACGCTCTATTGTGGCACAAACCGTCCGCGCTCCACTTACATAAATGTGCAACAGGCAATATCGTCAGTATACTTAGCAGTCAGGCGACAGTAAACAGCGTTAGCACAGCGTTAGCACAGCGAAATTTATACTAGGAAAAATGCAACACTTACCACAGCATTATATCTACCTCTTCTTTCTTCTAGCTTCTTCTCTCGGCTTCCGTTGCTCTGTCTGTTTCGGCGTCTCGGCATTGCCTTATTTCCTTCCGTCTCTCCCTCTCTCTCTTCTTCTGTCTCTCTTGCTCTCTCGTCCGCTCTCCAGTTATCTTCCGTGGCTCCGTGGGTCGTGAATCGTTTGTTGTGGTAGCATCTTGCGTTATGTCCGCAAGCCCGGTTCTAACTGTCGACGACGCCAAAATGTAACGGCGATGGTGACGTTACCCGGTTCAAAGTAGATTTGTTGTAGAGATGAAATAAAACTCCAAACTCCAAGCAGTTGTGTTCAGCAAATAGTATTATTGTTTCTCAACCCACATGCGCGTGCACAGAGGCACGCAGCCGCGTGCCTCGCACACTCACGTCCGATCTCTCCTCACAACCAAGAACCTTCCCTTTATACATTTCTAGCTAACAAAGAAAGTCGTGCGCGCCTGGACAACCACACCTGCTGCCCACATGCACAACACTTCCTTCTCAACCGTTTCGCATCTCCATCATCCATACTACATCAGACGCACTGCCGCCGCCTAACGCATTATGCAACCACCGTCGCGACATTTCTAAACACAACTACTATTTCTACCATCTGCAAATCACACTTTACAACACCTACAGCTGCCCCTACACCTGCAGGTGTGTCCAGTACCACCAGTCCCACCTGCCGACCTGGCATTTGGACTATATGGGATAAAAACGTGATGACTTTGAGACAGCAAAAGATACTAACATTTTTGCTTTTATTGACACTTGCAAGTTTGGCTCGTAGGGTCTATGTCCCCCTGGCCTCTGTGCGACCTGGCTAAACGAGCCAGGTCAAACAGAGGTCAGGTGGACATAGACCTTATCTGCGCAAGTTTGTGTATAGGTTGAAAAATGTATAATCACTTATACTAATAATCACATGATATCAGAGATATCACGTTTTGTCACATGTATTTCCTATGCAATACGGATGCCAGACAATTAGAGAGAGGTTGATGATACTTTAATTAGCAATTGAAACATATTGTATCTTGACTATTAAGTATTATAAAATGGCTGTTCCTGATTCAGATCATTGTTCAATAATGAAGTATATTTTATAAATATAGTGATCTTATTTAACATGGTGTGCAATATATACTACCTTTATCAGAGCAAGCTCAGCATTATCTTGTACATCGTCTGTTGCTTGTCGTTTTTCTCGGCATTTTAGGCAGTCTGTAGAAATATGAAGAGGAACCTCTGTTGTTGCTAATGCTCTCTCCAACCTAATCTTTTGCTCCAAAAGAAGACCTGTCTCTGCTATCAAGTCTTGTATTGTCTGCTGCAGTTCTGATTTCCAGCAGTCAGTTTCTTGTAATCGATGTACGAGCTTCTTTGTCACATCATTCTAAACAAAATTAAAATGTTTTTATACCTATTATGGCATAATCATGGTAACTCTCAAAGTATCTAGCATCGATTTCACACACCATCCACATGGCCAGCCCGGGTGAGAAAAGGCAACAGACAACCAAGTAGGCCAACAGTAAGTAGTACCAAGTCATGAGAAAACTCCAAAATGTCAATAACAATTTTTCAATCTCTTTATTATAACTTTAGCTACATTCTAACATATGCTAGCTGTTATTTCTTCTCATTATTTCTTCTAAGCGTGTCATACTGTAGTATATCTAGCACTGTCAGTTTTTACTTAACGCGGTGTCTAAGCAGGTCAGCTTGACTGCGTTCTGCTCGTTTACATTATGATTTGTCACGTGACTCGCGGGTTTCCTTGGCGCGTTATAAAAGCGTCTGTTGTGCGTGGCGCGGGTCCTTTTTGCTTGAGCCGTATTTATACATTCGCGTGCGCTCGTGCTTTTTTCCACTGTGCACCATACATTGTAAGTATTGTTTCTTTGTTCTCGCCTAATTTCTTATAATTTGGATTTTTATTATATAATTTTGGATATAATGAACATTACATGACATGAGCGACATAATATTTAGTGTGCATTATTAGTGTGCGTTTCGAGTAATAAATTTGGAGTGTATAAAAATATGCCGAGTTGAGAAATATTCGTTAACACGCACGGAATTGTAACACTAGCTATGATTGAAGCAAACCTTAGCAAAATCAACAGCCCTTCATTGGCTGCTCCCACCAGCATCACTACTATATATCTAGAATCACCATAGTTCTGTCATAAAATTTACACACGCTCAGGTTTGACCAATGCTCGCTTCGAAACCATACCCATTCCCTATGTGACTTTCAAATCCGATCACATATGCAAACTCCTACAGTCAGCAAATACTGACCCTGGAAACTACAGAATGAAAAAATCGCTACATATACAAATCGCTATATAAATATATATATATATATAAATCGTTTATATAAATATATATATAAATCGCTATATATATTATATACAAATCGGTTTGGACAACAAATTAACACAATCTAATGTAATTTGTTTATGTTTAAAAGGATTCTGACATCTTTATGGTATTTAGCCTTTTATAAAATACTGAATTATTTAATAATTATTATTTTAAACACATTTTCAGGCATTTTCAAAACAAATTGTGATCAAACGTATTTTTGATTATATTGTTTTCAATCTTGGATATTGCCAACTTTCGTACTGACCGCCATAATTTCCCCCACAATGCCTTACGCATGCTGAAAACCGTGTGCTCACTGCTTTGAAAAACACAAATGGTTGCAGAATGTGAATTATCTTCTGAATCAGACAGTGAGGCGGATCAACAGCAATATCTGACGAAATATGCCAGTAATGTTGCTCCATATTATTAAACCTGATCAATTGAATGATGAGGACGAGAGGGTAGGCCTACAAATATCAGACAGTTCCGACAGTGGAAAAGATGCAAGTGGAGAGGAGCTCTGTGTCTTAAGCTGGGATATGGAAAATCGACGAGACGAACGTGGATACACATTTTTGCACTTATCAATCCGCACTGGTCAGTGTGGCGCCGATAGCAGAAACGTGCTCTCCCTAGGGCGGAGAGACACACCTCATGAATGCTATCATCGAAGTGGCCGAGTGGCAAAAACTTGATCAACTCGCTGACCAAAAGTTATGAAAATAGAACATGTTCTAATTTCTCAGCTTCTCTCTTATCAGCTTGTTGAGCGCTCAAACTTTCCGTTTACATTGCCGACTTTCAGTCGATTAGTAGAACTAGAATCCCACCACTCCACCACAGAGTCACCGCAGTAGACGTTAGATGAGCGCTGTCGCTCCGTGGCACTTGTTTGCATTGCCATTGTGTTTTCGTGTTGTGACGTTGCACCGCGCTTGGTGCAAAAATTTCGCACTATTTTAATGTTTTTGAACGTGGAATGTGAATGAATGTTCCGACCAAGTTTGGAAAGGATCCGTTGAACGGTTGGGAAACGTATAGCCGGACACACACATACACACACACACACACACACACACAGACACACACACACACACACCCATGTGCCACCACATCACAGAAAATCCCCAATTTATAGTAAGATATAATGTAATAATAACAAGAGCCGCAGAGCATCTGGGCTCATCTGAGGTCTGTTGCTACGGTTATGAACGTAAAATTTCAGTCGTGCGTAGTGACACATTTGTTATGCTAGCCGCACACTATACGACCCGAGCGGGATCGGGAGGCTTAGGTCTGGCTACCGACTGGTTTGACACGATCGGGAGGTCATTTTGGGCCGATTCGAATTTTGAATCGGGAGCAGAGCGGGTCGTATAGTGTGCGAGGTGTTACGACGCAACTTGGATAGTGTGCGTGGCCATCCGACCCGCCGCGGAGCGCTGAAGAAAATTGACCAATCACAGAGCAGCGCCATGGGAACCGCATTCGGTCAAAATGGCGGGAAAACACTCCTGACACGCTAAATCCGCTTGGAATGCCACAAGAGCGCCATGGTTAGCACCAACTTTGAGTCGTACAGTGTGCGGGGGCCTCCCGATCGATCGGCTGCCGAGCGTATGGTGTGCGAGGGCTTACGACTGCAGCCCGAGCAAAATCGTATAGTGTGCGGCTAGCATAAGGCACAGATATGCAGATACGCAGTTGCGTACACATTATTGTAAAGTTAGGACACGCCCACTATCCCCCATGCCATTTTTGTTTATTTTATTAAATGATACTTGCGCTCATAGGGTCTATGTCCCCCAGGGTACTGCCGGAACGTACCCTGGGTACGGTCCGGTATACCGGAACGTACCCTGGTAACTATCTGATATGGTTAGGGTTAGGGTTAGGGTTAGGGAGTAAGCGTAGGCGACTCCCTAGACTCGTTAGTGGAGTAGGCGAGGTACAGTCCGGCATCTTAGATAGTACCAGCAGAGCATATAAATCACGTTGATTTATATGCTCTGGTACCAGGGTACGTTCCGGCAGTACCCTGGAGGACATAGACCCTCTCAGCGATACTTGCCTTTCACTTCGAATTTGTTTCATAGATTCACAGCGTATAGCTGTAATTTCTTGTTGTTTATTGTGTGTGTGCGCGCGTGCGTGCGTGCGTGCGTGTGTGTGTAACGTAGGAATCTATTTTAACTTGTATGATGTGGATGGATATTGTGTTTAGGAGCAATTCTCCTGTTTGTCTTCGTGGATAGTATAGTATAGTGGAAGTATATCATTTTAGCGATGTTACAAGAATATCATTTTTATCTATGAATGAATATGATGATTGATTGGAGATGGGGGCAAAGGATACTTGCATTTAAAGTCAGAATGGTGGGGACTGCTCGTGCACCCCTCGCCTTGAAGTCCTGGACACGGCAGAAGAGAGGCAAGAAAAAAACGTCATTTTCTGGCGTGTGCCAGTTCTCAACGAGGAAAGCACGAGGACGGACATAACCTTTTTTAACAAGAAATTTGTCAAGAAATTTCCGAAGGGTCGCTTCGTGCAAGTGGGCAACCCTGGAGTCAGAGACGACAGTTTCTCTCTCCACGATCGGTCGACGGTATGTGTAACCTTGTACTTAGGTGAGGTAGGCAGCGGGTAAGGGAACAGGGTAGAAGATGCGCAATAAAGCAAACACGAACTAGTGAAGTAACGTACCACAAGCGACTGTATTATTAGCCATGATAGATATGAGTACAACACGTAGCGTACAAATGTAGCGTGGCAAGGCAGAACACAGCGATAGAGGTTCGAGCTCCCCGTGCTTGAGTGCGGCTCGCCTTATATAGCCAAGCGATTCCTGTGCCCGCCATCAGGGCATTATCTCATCACCTCTTGGATTTCTCCAGGTTCCCGTTCTGCCGCCCTCTTCTTGCAAGGGCCGCAGTTTATGATGCCGCGTGTCACGTACCCCGCTCTCCGCTCTCTAAGTGACCATTCTACCTAGTCAGTCATTCAACACCTGTGACACCTGTGGCACCGCTACCAGCTGTTGCCTGCTCCGCTCACTCGGCAACGTGCCTAAGTAATGAGCTCGAGCGCAGCAGTGCTACAGTATGTATAGATGTATTACTCAATATATATATCTGTACTATAAAAGGGAAAAGCCAATTTTTTGTTAGCTATGTTCTCTGAATCTGCTCGCATGATTTGAAATTGCTTGACTGTAAACGATGCATTACCACTCATAGAGTAATATTGGCGCACTTTTGCAATGATGAAAACAGGATAAAGTTGAATTTGAAGCCGTTTTATTTAACACTGGCTAAAAATAGCATACCAGTGTATCGACGTGACTATACCATTAACCAATGTAGTACGTGTCGTTGCCAGCTTGCGCTGTGGCACAGTGGTAGCACGCTTGCCTAATCCATTAGGGGTCGGGAGTTCGAAACTCGGCAGCCGCGGAAATTAAAAAATATATATTTCTCGCCAGGCGCGCAACTTCTTTCTTTCATTCTAAATATATGCATATTTAAAATATATTTAATTTAAAATGTATACTATAAAAGGCAAACAGCGAATTTTTAAGTCAATCAATTCCCCTCATGGAATTCCCTGGGATATCCCAAAATCCATAATGAAATTCTTCATCACAATGTGCTCACCACATCTTCACGTTCGGTTGAGTTCGGTTTCGGTTTCAGTTTCGGTTCGCCGAAAACTTTGTACTTCAGTTAATATACCTTTATCTCCTGCACGTAAGGTAAGTTTTCCGAAATATCAATATGCCTGTTTCTTGAATAACAATCATAGTGCGTAGGCCTACACAAACACAGTGACCATGTTTGCCCAGTCAATAAATGGCATTATTCCTGCCGATTGTCACCAATTCCTGCATGAATTATGTATTGTTGGCAAAACATGTTTACAAGCACTCAACCAGATCATATATTTGGACAGAAAACGATACAAATGTTATGATTTATGCCATTTTGTTTCTGTCCTAGAGTATATTAATTTCATGCAACAATTGCATGCATGTGCATACTGTTCAAGTAATAATGTATGCTGTTCAGAATTGAGAATTGCCACATCACATACATTCAAAAATCACTCAATTCAATTTTTATTACACATTGACATTCCCAGTAGACTTCGACAAACAAGAGGAGTGTTGACTAGGAAGCTCATAAATAAGGTAAGTCATGATAAGAATAGGCAATAAGTCATGATAAGAATAGATTAGATAGGAATATAATAATTTTGTATGCCCATTAACGGATGACCATTTTCAATATTAGGCATTATTCATTAATTCGATATTAGCCATGAAATACAATAAATGTCTGTTTACGGTTCCAAATCCAAGTCAAAAACACCAAAACTATCATTCAATGTGTTTATTTTCTAGAACTTTAAACCCCGATACATATTTTGATGGAAAAATGATATAAAAATATTGTTTAAGAATACTAATTTCTATTTCTCGACTTTATTTATGATCTTTGTCTAAAATAAATCAATTTCATATTCTTTTTATAACAATGCTAATAACAAAATTTGAGTCGGCACTTTTTTGGAAGAGTGTCGGATAACCGTCAACCGATTTTTTATATATTTTATGCCTTAAGTCTCCACGGGGATTTCAATATTCCTCACAGCTCATTGTCATTCATGTGAATATATCCACATTCTGTAGCTGTACACTTCTGATGCAAAATAAACATTGTTTTCTTACAATAACCACCTTTTACTTTTCTCTTGCCTACCTACATCCATGATGAAGCGCAAAACATCCCTCAACAACACTACCCGGACAGCAGCACACATGAGAGCTAAAAGACAACGGCCAAGTGTTGACGTCACACATGAACAGGCACAACACCACGAGGCATATGGTTATGTCGAAGAACATTTTACTCCACAAACCTGTATAGGACTTATGAACAAGATCTGCCAGCACTGTCAAGCTGCCACATTCACCAATGAACCTCCTGGATTCTGCTGCTGCAACGGGAAAATTAAGCTCCCATGTTATCCACAGCTACCACCTTATCTTTCATCGCTACTGAATGACGATGAACATTTTCTCTGCAATATCAAGACATATAACTGTGCATTCCAAATGACCAGCTTTGCCTGCACAACAAGGCAACTATCAGACTGGAACCCTACATTTACAGTGCAAGGGCAGGTTTTCCATAACATTGGTTCCATGTACCCTGAACCAAACCGAACACCTCAGTTCCTTCAAATTTACTTCATTGACAACAAAGTAGATGAAGTGAACACAAGGCTATCAATTGCAAATCAGCTGAAACCTGAAATAGTTGCAAATCTACGAGACATGCTCCATGAACACAATCATTATGTGAAAGCTTTCAAAACAGCTGCAGATATCTTGCACAACATAAATGCTCCTGACTTAACTGTTGTGATACATGAGGATAAACGACCAAGCAATGAACATGCGTGACGATTCAACATACCAGTAGCCAATGAAGTTGCAATTCTCATGCCCAATGAGCCCACCACCAGCAGGGATATAGTCATACACCAACGTGATGGTACACTGAAACACATATCAGAACTTAGTCATGCTTACGATCCATTACAGTACCCACTGTTCTTTCCCTATGCCACCCATGGCTACAATATCTACATGAAATCTGCTTAAGGAAAGCCAGTTACTCAAATGCAATATTATTCGTATCACATCATGTGCCGCAAATCAAATCACATCCTACAAGGTAGACGCCTGTTTCAACAATTCATCGTTGACATGTACTGTAAAGTTGAAAGTGAGCGTCTCCACTTCTTACGCCGTGAAAAGAAAACACTGCGAGCTGATAACTATTCAAATCTCCAAGACAGTCTGGTCAAAGCAGATTCCAATCCAGCAAGCCTCGGGCAGAGGGTTGTACTTCCAGCCACATTCACCGGAGGACCCAGGTATATGCATCAGAAGCAACAAGACGCCATCACATATGTTAGAGAATTTGGGCGACCTGACCTCTTCATTACCACAACCACAAACCCCAAATGGCAGAAAATTATGGACAACCTACTTCCACACCAAACCGCTCCAGATCGCCCAGATATCGTCGTGCGAGTGTTCAATCAAAAGTTACTCAAACTCATGCACATGCTGAAAAATGGCTGCTTCGGGAATGTTCAGGCATGGCTTTACTCTGTTGAATTTCAGAAGAGGCCTTCCTCATGCCCACATCCTTATATGGTTAAACCCACAGTCAAAGGTCACTCCACAAGATATTGACCTCATAATTTCAGCAGAAATCCCATCTCCAACAGATACACCAGTCCGTCATGAATTAGTCAAGTCCCACATGATCCATGGCCCACGTGGTCCCTTCAACAGAAACAGCCCTTGCATGAAGGACAATCAGTGCACAAAGTCATTTCCCAAACACTTCATTGACACCACAATGACAGGCCACGACGGCTACCCGAACTATCGCAGACGGATGGAAGAAGATGGCGGTCACACCATTAGCTTAAATAAAAATGTCAACCAGACCATGCAACACATCATCATCAGCAACCAGTGGGTGGTGCCATACAGCCCATTCCTCCTACGCCAAATGGAGGAACTTTGCATGTCAGTCAAAAGTATTATATATGTCCTAAAATATGTAAACAAGGGAAGTGACCAAGCCATGTACAGCCTCCAGCAAGATACAAGTGCACCTACTCCAACTGATGAAATTGCCCAATACCAGCATGCAAGATACGTCGGCAGCACTGAGGTAGCATACCGCCTCCTCAAACTTCCAGTCCATGAACACTTCCCACCCGTATCCCATTTGGCTGTACACCTAGAAAATGGACAACGCGTCTACTTTTCAGACACTAACACCGCACAAGAATTAACCAACCGTCAGCCACCCAAAACTACTCTGACTGAATTTTTCACTTTATGTCAACAAGATACCTTTGCAAGAACACTCACATACCCACAGCTACCACAGTATTATACATGGAACAACAAGAAGTGGGTGCGCCGTAAGAGAGGAACCCCAGTTCCAAACCATTCCAGCATTTTTAAAATAAACTGCCTTGGTCGCGTATACACGATCTCGCCAAACCGAGGAGAATGCTACTTCCTCCGACTCCTACTGCATGAGAAGAAGGGGCCACACAGTTTCCAACATCTCAAACAAGTTGAAGAGGTTACCTGTTCAACATTCCGTCAGGCATGCCTTTTGCTTGGCTTAATTGCAGATGATAACCACCTCCACAAGGCTTTATCTGAAGCCAACGAGTCAAGCAGCCCAGCCCAACTCAGGAACCTCTTCGCCATCATCCTCACATCATGTGAACCAGCAGACCCACCCAACCTGTGGGAACAGCACAAAGACAACATGTCTGAAGATTTATTCTTTCCATCAAGCCAACACAACCTGAACGACGACCAAATTGCTACTGTCTACAACTCCTGCCTGCTCCAGATAGAACAAAAAGTCCTCCAAATGGATGGCCAGTAACTACACAAATATGGACTCAATGTTAACCACAACAATGCTGATTACGACACAATTGAATACAACCGGTACACCCAGTACTCAGCATCGGAACAACAAACCTTCTTAGCAGAACATGAAGGTGATTATTAACTGTTCCGCACTCATCGTTGACGAAGCGCCTATGACCCACAAAGCAGCATACGAGGCCATAGATCGGACTTTACAAGACATCCGAGGCAATACCCAGCCCTTTGGGGGCATCCCCACATTACTAGATGGTGATTTCCGCCAGATATTACCAGTTGTCAAGAACGGTACACAAGCCAACATAATTGAACCATCAATCAAAAGATCTCACCTCTGGCAACATGTCCATATGGTACACTTGCACAAAAACCAGAGGGCACACCTAACAGGCGACTCAAACGCAACTGCCTACTCACATCTACTCATGTCCATAGGCAATGGAACGTATACAGTGACTGAACCACCCAGCACAATCTTCCTTCCTGACAATCTGCAGACAACAAACGATCAGGGACATCTCATTCAAGCCATCTTTAAAGACTTGCCTACAAAGCACACCAACAACCAATGGCTATCAGAACGTTCAATACTAGCGCCACTTAATGACACTGTCGCAACACTTAACCATCACATCCTCAACATGATGCCTGGAGAACAAATCGCGTACACATCCTTGGACTCGACTCTAACTGTGAAGGAAGCTGTCCATTTCCCTGTGGATTTCTTGAATTCCCTTAATATCGCAGGCTTACCACCACACAAACTTACTCTTAAACTTGGTTCCCCCATTATTGTCCTCAGATCTTTAGACCCACACAACATCACCAATGAAACACGTTGTCGAGTCGCAGCCTGCCATGCCAACGTCATAGAAGTCGTCATCCTACATGGACCAGCAACCGGCAAAACCGTATTCATACCACGCATACCACTCATCCCTTCAACATCAGATCTTCCTTTTCAATTTAAAAGACTGCAATTCCCTATCTGCCTTTGCTATGCTAGACAATAAACAAAGTCCAAGGACAGGATACGCTTGGACCTGACCACACCTGTCTTCTCCCATGGCATGCTCTATGTTGCCCTCTCACGAGTAGGCAAACCCACGGCGATGTTCATTCACACACAGGACAGGAAGACCAAAAACAGACCATCCAAAGACGCCCTTCATTCTTAGGTGAGCTACAACGCTAATACACATTCATGAATTCCCACCGTCCGAAGGATCAGTTTCAGTTACTCATGTCCCAGACAGTCAGGCAATTACAAGAAACTAAAAAGGACGTTCGCGATAAAATCTGCGCCCCCGAAAACCATATCCAAACTGCTGACAAACAACTCATAGAAGCTATCACTGAAAACGAAATCTAAATATTCGACAATGACTCAGCAATGGTACTAGACTCAAAATCCATAGACTTCACAAACACGTACTTGATGCAGAAATACTCACCGGCCCTCGCAGTGGACAAAGAACATTAATACCCAAGATAATATTAGCTCCATCTGATGTCGATCTATCATTTACACTTCAACGCAGCCAGTTCCCTATTCGCTTGGCTTACTGCATCACCATCAATAAAGCGCAAGGTCAAACTTTCAAGAAGCTGGGTATTTTCCTCCCAAAACCCGTCTTCTCTCATGGCCCACTTTACGTTGACTTCTCACGTGCTATTTAAATCTTTCGCTGAGGTAAAGCTTCAACTGGAAACTACTGACAACCAAACTCAAGGGAAATCAGACTCTGTTTCTTACACTACCAACGTTGTATACCATGAAGTTCTGTAATTTAGTGTCCATCACCTGTAAATCTTATCAAATAAACTTTTGTATTGTATTTTACTTTGTATTGGAACATCTTCTCAGCTAAACCATGCATCTCTACATTCACAGCATATGCCCGCACCCGTGAGCATCATTGCCATAGACTTTCACTACCATAGGCTTGGGCCTGACCACACCTGTCTTCTTCCATGGCATGCTCTGTTGCCCTCTCACAAGTAGGCAAACCCACGGCGATATTCATTCACACACAAGGACACGAATACCAAAAACATACTTTACAAAGAAGCCCTTGATCCTTAGGTGAGCTATAACACTAATACACTCATTCATGAATTCCCACCGTCCGAAGGACGGGTACTTTGCTAGTATATACATAAGTATGTAGAGAAAATGATACGCGTTCATTCATTGACGATACTACATATCTCTGTGTACAACGTATTGCGTGTGTCGAGCAGGCTGTTACAATAATCTTAGTTATGC